TCACATTGTCTTAATTATCACAAATCTTAATTATCACAAATCTTTATTATCACAAATCTTTATTATCACAAATCTTTATTATCACAAATCTTTATTATCACAAATCTTTATTATCACAAATCTTTATTATCACAAATCTTTATTATCACAAATCTTTATTTCAGACTGTGTCTGCCAAACACGTAATGCGTTACCTGACTGCAGTCTCCAATTCTGGAACAAGGTATTATATGAAACCATATTAGTGTATTAATTTATATTGCGTTTCTGTATATATGTCAGTTTTCTAATCAATTCATTTATTCAAAGCAAGCCACTTTTGAATTGATTTTTTTATATAATGACTTCGCAAGATGTTTCTGTTCAGTAAAAATTTGACTAAACTAAGACAAAATCCGTTGCTAAACTAAGACAAAATCCGTTGCTAAACTAATGATCGTGACATTTTGGAATCATGAATTTTGTTACAAATTTATCCATTTTCAGTCATGTGTCTGCTGGTAGTCGTATTGAGCAGAAAGTATTAGATTCTAACCCCATCTTAGAGGCATTTGGTAAGGTATTAAGCTTTAATGTGGTGTTGAGAAACAATGTGAGTCACACTATTGTTTTTAAGTCATGTTTGTTCCTTCAGATGAGACAAAAATGTTTTGCATTTAACTTGCATTTTTATTACTCATTCCATTGCTTTGGATTTTAAGTGGAATAAGATCTCTGTTGGTAATTTGACATGGAAACTTAAATAGCTACATCATGCATGTATATACATTCAGATGTCATTTTATCCAGAATTAGTGATATTCTGTATAGTGGTGTCCCCATGTGTTGTTATGCATAATTATTATTTTATTACTATGCCCATTTCAGGTAATGCAAGTACAACTAGGAACCACAACAGCTCAAGATTTGGAAAATTTATACAGCTTCAATTCCAAAGGTATATCTAGTTGTTAGAATTTTTTCTGTGAAATTAGCCGTCAAACATCTCCAAATCTACAAACATATTCAAAGTAAGAATTCTAGCTGAAGAATAAGTGCCCACCACTTCCCAAAATCATTCTGAGTGCCTTTTTTGTCACCAAGTGGAAGTGGTGACATTGTATTAATATATAGCTTAATCGTCTCAAATTTTTGTTGTTGATGGTGTTCATTTTCTGTGTTTGGCATTCAGCATCTGCAACAAATAGAAGGTGAGGACATTTTTAATGTTAATGTCCTGAAAACTGAGTTAGTATTTGTGAATTCAAAAGTTAGCTTCCAGCTTTTATGGCCAATTTATTTATTTAGATATTGAATTCACGAGTGCTGCCTAAGAATTTTTCCTTAAATGGCACTAATTTGATAAAATGGCATTTTTGACAATATTTCTTAATCTTTTCAATAGGAATGGCTGTATAGATGGTGCTGCTATAGAAACCTACTTATTAGAGAAGACCAGAGTTGTTCATCAGTCACCACAGGAATGCAACTTTCATATATTCTATCAGGTATGGTAATATTCCCCTTTTATTTATGAAGTAATAAACAAATTACTCGAAAAGAAATACTAGGCTCGGCTTCGCCTTGCCTAGTATTTTTTCCTCGGATAGGTATTCTGGCATATCCACCTCATGGTCATCCAGTATTTATTTTATTATGCACCTCCTTTGAGAAATACTTTATTTTAAAGAATGGGTCTACTAAAACAGAAGCCGAGCCTGTAGGCTAAGCTTGGGTGTTCGACTATCAAAAATACCATTTATTCTCTCATTTGGCCTTATTCTTCAGTATTCCCTCCTAAGTTTGGCCGATGCCTTATCTAGCGCCACCTACCTTTTGTCAGTTAATCACAGGAAATTGAATAGAAATCCCCTTCTCTCATATCACGCAAATCATTTTTCCCTCGCATTCTTCTCAAATTCAACATGGAAGAGATTCTAAGAAAATGACGTCATCGACAAATGGACCCGTCGAAAATATTTTTTCGAGGATAGGTATTCTGGCATACGGGATGGTTTGAGATCTCGTTGCTTCAATACTGGATAGAACGAGATCTTGCTGCCACGTATGGCAATAGACCCTGCAGCTCTTAACCAATCAGATTTGAGTATTTTAATGAGGTGCATAATAATGACTTATACTCTATACATCATCATTAATCATCTAAAATTGCAAAGGCAATGCGGGCCCAGATTGTAAATACAGTAAAACCTGTCTCAGTGAAGCACCTTTGGTACCTCTATTGGGAGGTGTTCCATTATAGAGGTTCATTTATTTAAGAAAGTTGGGACCACTAACAAAGCTGTTCCACATCTAGAGCCAGAGGTGTTCACTATACAGGTTTCACTGGCATAAAGAGAATAAATTCCTCTTAAGGTAAAATTGCATGATCGTAATAAAAGCAAGAGGACATTTACATTAAGACATAACACACTCCAATCCGTACAATTCATAAAACACATAGTACCATATCAATAGTAAACGAAAAACTACCCCCTTACTTGTAAATGAAAAGCTGCCCCCTTACTTGTAAATGAAAAGCTGCCCCCTTACTTGTAAATGAAAAGCTGCCCCTTGTAAATGAAAAGCTGCCCCCTTACTTGTAAATGAAAAGCTACCCCCTTACTTGTAAATGAAAAGCTACCCCCTTACTTGTAAATGAAGAGCTACCCCCTTACTTGTAAATGAAATAGCTATCCCCTTACTTGTAAATGAAGAGCTACCCCCTTACTTGTAAATGAAAAGCTATCCCCTTACTTGTAAATGAAAAGCTATCCCCTTACTTTTGAATGAAAAGCTATCCCCTTACTTTTGAATGAAAAGCTATCCCCTTACTTTTGAATGAAAAGCTACCCCTTACTTGTAAACGAAAAGCTGCCACCTTACTTGTAAACGAAAAGCTGCCACCTTACTCATAAACGAAAAGCTATCACCTTTCTTGTAAACGAAAAGTTGCCACCTTTCTTGTAAACGAAAAGTTGCCACCTTTCTTGTAAATGAAAACTGCCACCTTTCTTTTAAACGAAAAGCTTCCACCTTACTTGTAAACGAAAAGCTGCCACCTTACTTGTAAATGAAAAGCTACCCCCCTTACTTGTAAATGAAAAGCTACCCCCCTTACTTGTAAATGAAAAGCTACCCCCCTTACTTGTAAATGAAAAGCTACCCCCCTTACTTGTAAATGAAAAGCTACCCCCCCTTACTTGTAAATGAAAAGCTACCCCCCCCCCCTTACTTGTAAATGAAAAGCTATTCCCCCTTACTTGTAAATGAAAAGCTATCCCCCCTTACTTGTAAATGAAAGCTACCCCCTTACTTGTAAATGAAAAGCTACACCCTTACTTGTAAATGAAAAACTACCCCCTTAAAGCTACCCCCTTACTTGTAAATAAAAAGCTACCCCCTTATAAAATATCATTTAATTTTAAAATTTATCACATCATTGTAACACATGTTTATTGCAGATGTTACAAGGACTTAATCCAAACCAGAGGGAGACACTGCTGTTAGATACCACTGCTGAATTCCGCTGTTTACCTTCTTTGAATAGAAATCCAGGTAAGTTGATAATAATCTACAAAAAAGAGTGAGTGGTGGAAGTATGTAGCTGGAATGAGTCATTACAATCATTGAGAAAATGAATAAGACTAGTTTACTGTAAAGATTTACCTTTTTCAGTGATCTCCGCAGGATTTTTTCTCAGGTGGATGAAGAATTCTCATTTTCACAATTCAGACAAAAATTGGTCTAAATATGCCAATTTTTCATGATTTTTTTTCATTTTTAAGTGAGTGCAAATGGATTATCAGGTGGGTGCAAGCTAATTTTCAAAATCTCAGGTGGGTGGGGAGATCACTGTTTTTGTTGAAACGAGCAAAAAAGAGGTTATCCTACTCTTACTACAATTCTGATCGGAGAAGCAATGTACATAGTGATTACTTTGTATTTACAGAGTCAGATTTAAGTCATTTCCAAACTACATGCCAGGCCTTACATCATGTAGGACTCGAAGAAGAGAAGCAATTACAGATATTCAAGGTTCAGTAATTGCTACAACTCAAAGATCATTATACAGTTACATTAATAAGAATACATTAAATAAGAATAAGAAAGTCACATCACAAAAAATAAATAACAACTCAACAGAATTTCGAGAAAATGTCTCAAACACCTTTTCAATCATGACAAATTATTTTGATGATTCAAAACTATCTTTAAATTTTACACAGGGTCTTTAATTTGATATATTTCAGGTTCTAAGTGCAGTTTTACATATAACAAACATAAACTTCCTTTGGGATGAAGATGAGGAAATGTGCAGTATACAAGGTATGTTGCAGTTCCTCATTCTAAATAGTTAGGAATATTTAGGTGAAAATATTTCAAAAATATATAGAAGCAATTTTAAGGTGGATTTCAAAACTTCATACCATTCTTTTGAAAACCTGAAGTGGCACCAAGCAATCCATTGACTTTTTCACCGAAAATCCAAGATGGCCGCCGCGATGTGTCAAAAAACCATAAAAAATGACTTAAGTTATGATTTAATAAGTCAAAATAGTTGTATACTGATCAAACATGGCTAATAATAGTACCTATCAGAAGTTAATATCCATTTAAAGTCATTGGATCAATTTTTGTGTGAAAACTGGAGTCCCACAAGGCTCAATTTTATGTCCGCTACTTTTTTTGCATTTTTTGCATTGACCATGGCATTTGCACATAGCAATGCATAGAAATCCATTCTGTAACATGTGCACCTAGGACCACATTTCACCTTGCACCCACACTTGACCAATGCTTCGCATGCTGCTTGAGGAAGGGCTGTATATAGTGGCACCAGGAGGGACATGTCATACTGCCAGCCCCATGTTGTGAACTCCGATACCCATGTTGGATTGAGATTGTACAGTTGGCCCCAAACAATACCACATTGGTTAGCAAGTTATTAAAATTTTCTGTGCAAGGGCTCCTTTTGTTGGTGGCATTCTATCAATGACTGAATGGCCATCACAGAACATTTGCCTTCGTGCTGCATCGATATCTATCTGGTTGCTGGTTTGATCATATACTAGAACAGTAAAACGTTTAAGGGACTGAATGGCATGAACTGACAAAGTCAGGTTTGTTGTAACCATTTGTGCTACTTGTAGAAAAGCTGGAGTAACTTCCTTGAACGCATTCCATAGCTTGAAGGGCAGATTCTTTGCTATGGCCAAAGAATGGTGCAGTTATATAATATAATTTAATACCTGTAATTTTTGAGAAGTCAGAAGGCAATCCAGATTGACACTTATTGCACCCTAATGATGCAGCCATGGCAAGAACTTCACCAGTATCTCCAATGATTCTGATTATGAAGTCTTTTTTACCCTCTGAGCCCGGTCTCTGAGGTCATCTGTTTTACCTGAACAAAGAGTCTAGTGTAGTATCAGCTTCTTCATGAGTACAAGGTTCAATCATTACTGTAACTGGCAACTGAGGAAAGCACTTCAACAGATTCCACAATAGTCATAAACATCAACCTCAAAAATAGAGTTGACCAGGAATGCTAACAGCTCAGTCTTGTTCTGGTTGTTTCTTAGAAAGCCTAACCAATTCTGGGGCATCACATTCTCTGCATAAACCATCCATTGCCACAATGAATCCTTGTCAGGGACTTCCTACTGTTTTATAGGTAGACATCCCAGATAACATCTTATCTTGAAAAACCTTCCATAGGCCGCCTTAACTAAGAATGAGACATTGGTACCATATTCTTGGAAGTTGGTAGCCACTCCAGGATGCATCACATGGATCAGAAGGATGCCATATTAAAATTGCATCTGCAGGTGGCTTTTCCAATACTTTAGATCCATCTGGCTTAGCTTCTTGACATTTAAGTAAGTCTGCTTTTGTTGTAGGTCTCATGGCTCTGTGGTTATATAGGGATGGCGGGAACTCATGGTTTTCATATTTGAAAAACTCAAGACATGTCATTGTGTCTTGATTGGCATGCAATGTAGAGTAATAGCAAAAAGGTCATAATAATTTCTCAGTTCCTTGACTTCAGGATTCACTTGCATGCATAGTTGGTGTGGTCTAGGGAGAAAAAACAAAGAATCATCTGAAATGATTCCTGAGGTCAAGGAACTGAGAGAAAAAAATTACCTTTTTAGCTATGCTCTATATCGCTTGCCTTTGACAATCAAGACATGTCTTAGTTTTTTAAACATGAAAACCATGAGTTCCCGCCATCCCTAGCTAAGCATGGAGCCATGAGACCTACAACTAAATGACCTACTTAAATGCCTAGAAACCAAGCCAGATTAAGGCAGCTTATGGAAGGTGTTCCAAGATTAGATGTTGTCTGGAATGTTTACCTACAAAACAGTGAGAAGTCCCTAACAAGGATTTATTGTGGCACTGGTGCTAGAAGGATGATTTATGCAGAGATGCACAAATGCCAAAGAATTGGCCAGCCTTTCTAACAATCAATGGAACCAGACTAGGCTGTTTGCATTCCTGGCCAACTTTATGTCTGAGGTTGATGTTAATGAAAAGCAAATGATAACTACTATTTGGGAATCTCTTCAGTGCTTTCCTCAATTGCCAGATACAGCAATGATTGAACCTTGTACTCATGAAAAAGCTGACACTAGGCTCTTTGTTCATATAAAACAGATGACCTCAGAGGGTAAAAAATACTTCATAACCAGAAGTGGAGATACTGATGTCCTTTTTCTTGCCATGGCTGCAGCATTAGGGTGCAATAGGTGTCAATCTGGATTGCCTTCGGACCTCTCAAAAATTACAGGTATTAAATTATATTATATAACTGCACCATTCTTTGGCCATAGCAAAGAATCTGCCCTTCAATCTATGGAATGTGTTCAAGGAAGTTAGTCCAGCTTTTCTACAAGTGGCACAAATGGTTACAACAAACCTGCCTTTGTCAGTTCAAGCCATTCAGTCCCTGGAACATTTTACTGTTTTATTATATGATCGAACCAGGAACCAGATAGATATCAATGCAGCAATGTTCTGTAACAGTCATACAGTCATTGACAAAATACCACCAACAAAGGAGCCCTTGCACAGAAAATCTTAACTTGCTAACCAAGGCGGTATAGTTTGGTGCCATAACCAAAATGGTTATCGAGTTCACAACATGTGGCTGGCAGTATGACATGTCCCTCCTGATGCCACTATGTACAGCCCTTCTTCAAGCAGCTAAGGCATGCCAAGCATTGGTCAAGTGTGGGTGCAAGGTGAAATGTGGTCCTAGGTGCACATGTTACAAAAATGAATTTCTATACATTGCAATGTACAAATGCCATGGTCAGAGAAAGTCATTGAACTAAAAAAGTAGGGGACATATAGTTGAGCCTTGTGGGACTCCAGTTTTCACACAAAAATAATCTAGTGACTTTAAATGCATATGACTATCTAATAGGTACTATTATTAGTCATGTTTGATCAGTATTTAACTATTTTGACAAATTAAATGATGATATTAGTCAATTTTAGTGATTTGCCGATACATTGTGGCGGCCATCTTGGATTTTTGGTGAAATAGATTGCTTGGTGCCACTTCAGGTTCTCAAAAGGATGGTATGAAGTTTTGAAATCCACCTAGAGATTGCTTCTATATAATTTTGAAATATTCTGTGAACTTATCTCCTATTCAAACCCGACTAAAATTCTATATTAAGAATGAGATTTGCCCAACGCTGCCAAGAACAAGACATAAACATCAAAAGTTAATGAGAACACAGAACAAAGTCCTGGGCAAAGGGCAGATGTGAAAAAGTCAGTCCATCCCAGTTATAGCCTGTATAGCTGATATAGGCACTTATTTTAGCATTAATTGATTTGCTTGATGATTTATGTTACACCATCATGTTAATGACTTTTTATCGCACCCTTATTATCGCATCCTTATTATCGCATCCTTATTATCACACTCTTAGGTGCTATATTGTAATCAGTTTGCCAGGCAGGCGGGCGTCCCAAATAATCTTGTCTACAGGTTTCCAGCCAAACCGTCTGAGGGATTCATTTGAAATTCTCAGGGATGTGTCAACCTATGAAAGTTTAGAACTGATTAGTTTTTCGGCATTCTGGGTAAATGTTAAGGCGGCCATTTTGGATTTTCCGTCCTAAAATCTTGTCTGTCAAGGCTTGTCTACAGGTTTCCAGCCAAACCGTTTGAGGGATTCATTTGAAATTCTCAGGGATGTTTCTACCTATGAAAGTTTAGAACTGATTAGTTTTTCGGCATTCTTGGTAAATGTTAAGGCGGCCATTTTGGATTTTCCGTCCGAAAATCTTGTCTGTCAAGGCTTGTCTACAGGTTTCCAGCCAAACCGTTCAAGGGATTCATTTGAAATTCTCAGGGATGTTTCTACCTATGAAAGTTTAGAAATGATTAGTTTTTCGGCATTCTGGGTAAATGTTAAGGTGGCCATTTTGGATTTTCCATCCTGAAAAGTGTATTCTGTTCAAGGGTGCGATTCTGTTCACCGTGTGGCTTATTTTATGATTCCAACTTTTTATGGACAGTGTTTGGTGGTTGGCATCTGTAACAAATGACAGGTGGTGACATTTTGCATGTCAGTACCTTGCCTGTATTACAATGTTCTCAGAATCACCCTGTGCAGACAGAGCCTGTGGGAAATATTGGGTGCGGAGCAAATGAGCGGAGGGTGCGGAGCTAACGGTTATTTTTGAATTTAAATTTGGGATATTTCTGAAACTAAGCCGTTTTGGGACTTCAAATATACCAAGATATGTGTATTTGACACCAAATATCAATACAATTGTGAAAATAGTAGCGCAATTCATTCTATAGCGACGCAGTGTGCCTTAAACCTTTCCCAGACCTATATATTTTGAAATTATCCTTTTAATACTGAGTCCCCAGCATTCATAAAAAATGGTGTTCAAGGTGCACTATCTATACAAATTATTTTTGCATCTTGGAAGCCAGGCAGTATCTGTGTGATTTTATAAAAATTCGGAAATTTTTTCAGATATGAGCCCCCTCTAAATATTTGGTGCGGAGCAGCGCCATAAACATAGCTCCGCACCCAATATTTAGAGGGGGCTCATATCTGAAGAACATTTCCGAATTTTTATAAAATCACACAGATACTGCCTGGCTTCCGAGATGCAAAAATAATTTGCATGGGTAGTGTATCTTGAACACCATTTTTTATGAATGCTGGGGACGCAGTATTAAAAGGATAGTCTCAAAATATATAGGTCTGGGAAATGTTTAAGGCATTCTGCGTCGCTATAAAATGAATTGCAATACTATTTTCACAATTTTATTGATATTTGGTGTCAAATACACATATCTTGGTATATTTGAAGTCCCAAAACGGCTTAGTTTCAGAAATATCCCAATTTTAAATTCAAAAATGACCGTTAGCTCCGCACCCTCCGCTCATTTGCGCCGCACCCAATATTTCCCACAGGCTCTGTCTGCATATGGTGAGAATAGGATATTCTTATCTTATAAAGTCTGGCCATTGTAGATTGTGATACTCGCAAGAAGTTATAATACATAGTTATCCCATCGAAAGAAGTTCGGAGGGATATAGGGAACACCTCTGTCCGTCCGTCTCTCCGTCCGTCTGTCCTTCCGTCTGTCCTTCCGTCCGTACGTCTGTACGTACGTACATCCGTCCGTCCGGGCAATAACTCAAATACCATTGGCCGATTTTGTTCATATTTTGTACACATATACCCTATGGGGGTAGAAGTTCTGCTCGAAAGGCGATTTTCACAATGGCCACTCATTTCAAAATGGCGGCCATTTTAGTGCCGAATTTACAGTAATTTAGGTGCAATATGTAAAACTGTAATAGCAATATGTTTTAGATTTAAAAAAATTATATAGGACATTAATAAAGCTAGAAATGTAGATATTAAAGAAGCATATGGCAGCCATCTTGAAAAATGGCGGCCTTTACTCGTTATTTTACGATTTTTGCTGTAACTCGAAAAGTAGTGGAGCGATTTTGTTCATATTTGGTATGTGAATATTATAAACATTGCACACTGTCTTAAAACACTTTTGGTAGAAAGTGGCCATTTTAAAAAATGCCATTTTAACCTATTTTACTATAACTCGAAAAGTAGTGAAGCGATTATGTTCATATTTGGTATGTGAATACTATAAGGATGGCACACTGTCTAATGACACTTTTGGTAGAAGGCGGCCATTTTTCAAAATGGCCGCCATTTTAACATATTTTACTATAACTCGAGAAGTAGTGGAGCGATTTTGTTCATATTTGGTATGTGAATACTAAAAGCATGACACACTATCTTATGACACTTTTAGTAGAAAGTGGCCATTTTGAAAAATTTTTGAAAAATGGCCGCCATTTTAATGTATTTTATAATAATTCGAAAAGTAGTGAAGCGATTTTGTTCATATTTGGTATGTGAATATAATAAGTATGGCAAATGGTCTAATGACACTTTTGGTAGAAGGCGGCCATTTTAAAAAATGCCTGCCATTTTTGCTATATACTTTGTTTGTAAAAATGCCTTCCATGGCTGTTCGATGGGATTCGCTACGCTTTGGCGTTGCCGTTGTTCTGGTTATTATTATATTCTAGCATTCATCTTGCTCTTGTAGATTGTGATAAATCAGCAGAAGCAGTATGCCACCTATTGGCAGTGTCGAAGGAAAAACTAGCAAGGATTCTTACATTCAGGGAAATTACAGCATCACATAGCAGGAGAAAAAGTGTATTTCACAAGCCATGTAGTCGGTTAGAGGCTAGAAGTAGAAGAGATTGCCTTGCCAAAACACTATATTCAAGGTGGGTGACATGTCTCTGCAATGTATTGAGTGTAATGATTGAAGTTTTTTATCAACTCCACATATTGTTTTAGTTTAAATTTTTTGTTTATGGCGGTTAGTGTTTGGTGTTCAACTTCTGTAGCAAATGGAAGGTCTTGACATTTTACATGTTAATGCTTTATTTTAATTGTACATTGAAAGGCCTGTCATTCATTTGGAGCATTATAGACTTAGCTTAGGATAAGTGTATGATTAGCATGAAGAAAATTTATGGCAAACCATGTGATTGTCCAGAAGTAGAATTTTATTTCTTTTACCATGTTTCTACAGGAAAATTATCTAGAAGTTTACAGAGCAACATCAATTCAATACAGTTGAGAAATCATTCTTGATGCAAGATCTAACTTGACCTAGCTACAATACAAAAAAAATTTAAAAATACTAATTTCATTACCGATTCACCATTGAGCTATTCTCATTCCAGGTTATTTGATTGGTTAGTTGAGTATATCAACAGAGAGATTGCGTCAACAGAACATGATCGTACAATTGGACTGTTAGATATATATGGTTTTGAACAATTCCAAGACAACAGCTTAGAGCAGCTGTGCATAAATTATGCTAATGAGAGGCTACAGCAGCACTTTGTGGCGCATTTCCTCAGAGATTTACAGGTAATGCAGAAGTCATCTCCATGTAATATTAATAATTAAACCGCATTCACTTGAGGTTTTGAAAAAATGTTAGCACCCATTTGAAAATACATTTGCAGCTATACCAATTGGAAATGCAATCACTCACACCCAGAAAGAAATACTTTGCACTCACACTCACATTCATTTGGAAATGCATTTGGACCCTCTCCCATTTGGAAATCCACTCGCACCATATACATTTGGAAACGTATTTGCACCCACACCAATTTGGAAATGCAATTGCACCCACACCCATTTGGAGATGCATTTGGACCCACACCAATTTGGACATGCATTTGCACCCACATCCATTCGGACATGCATTTGCACCCACATCCATTCGTAAATACATTGCACTCACCTCCATTTGGAAATACTTTGCGCCTACACCCATTTGTAAATACATCGCATCCACACCCATTTGGAAATGCACTGGTACCCTCATTCTTTTGAAAATGCATTGCATCCACAACCATTTGAAAATGTATTCCATCTACAACCATTTGAAAATACATTGCATCCACAACCATTTGGAAATGCTATTGCATCCAAGAAATAACAAGAAAATATTGTTAATTGCATCAAAAATATGACTTAGTGATATAGTTAAGCATATTTTTCTGCAACACATTTATATTACATTGAACTATGACGTAGTTATCCCACCGAACAAAGTTCGAGAGGGATATAGGAAAGCCGTCCGTCCGTTTGTCCGTCCGTCTGTTTGTCTGGGCGATTACTCAAATACCGTTTCACGGATTTGATTCAAATTTTATAGGCTTATGCCTTATGGGTGTAGGACCTCTGCTCGAGAGGGAATTTTCAATATGGCTGTAGCACACTTGGAAGGTGGACGTATGTGCGTATAGATCAATAACACGTATTGTAGGTTTAAAATTGTCTTTATTGTTAAAATATACCAATGTCTGGAAACAAAAACAATAACATATATACAAACAAAACATAAAATCACACAAACAGACCATCGTTTCTTTATGAAACAAATGTTAATCATTAAATAAAGTTACCGCGTTTACATAAATACACAAATTCAAAATCACATCACTGCACAATGTGATGATTATAGGGAATACTAGTAATACACTTACGCAGTTAATAACTGCACATTGGTATTTTATGTTGGCAGCTTTACATGTTCATCTCACACTGGAATAAATAATAGCATAATGTTCATTGACGTTGGATATAATGTCCAATGATGAGAACATGTGTACACTCACATGGTCATAAAGATATATGTCAGTTGAAGCACACCACCATACAGAACTATGTCTGTTGAAGCACATGGTTATAGTTCAAAGGACTATGTATGTTGAAGCACATGGTTATAGTTCAAAGGACTATGTATGTTGAAGCACATGGTTATAGTTCAAAGGACCATGTATGTTGAAGCACATGGTTATAGTTCAAAGGACTATGTATGTTGAAGCACATGGTTATAGTTCAAAGGACCATGTATGTTGAAGCACATGGTTATAGTTCAAAGTTCAACGAGACGCCATATTGGATTTGTAATTTTGTACAAAGATTGTGTATAGAAGAAACGGAAATTCCCCAAGCTAACACTAACGTTATTCTAAGTAACAAGATGCAATTATTTGGTACAAAATATATCTGACTTGTCAATTCTTAGCAAGTAAAACTACTCTATAAAAGTAATGATTTTGATTTCTGACTAACCTGTTTTTGTTGTAACTCCTACTGCAGCAAAACTTTGTATCAAAATGTTGGGACTGATTGAAATAAATCTAGGTGTAGCTTTTATATTGGAAATCAAGTTTTACACTCATGCTAAAAGGAATATGTCCCTTTAGGAGCTCACAAATTATGATTGGTTTATATTCAAATACAAATTATTACAAACTTGTCATTGGCTGAAATTTAATCACTGAAATTATCACATGGCCACTGAATTCAAAATGGCCACCATTTTTCGTAAAAAATATTATCTTTAATTACTCAAATACTTGTTTGCCGATTTGGTTCAAATTTTATATGCTGATGCCTAGGGACACAGTAGATATGTTTGAGTAAAAATTTTCAAGATGGCGGCTAGATTTCAAAATGGCGGCCATTTTTCGTAAAAAAACTTAATCTTTGATTACTCAAATACCAGTGAACGGATTTGGCTCAAATTTTATATGATTATGCCTAGGGGCACAATAGATCTGTTCAAGAAAGAATTTTCAAGATGGCGGCTTGCTATTCAAAATTGCAGCCATTTTTCGAAAAAAAAAAGGTAATCTTTGATAACTCAAATACCAGTGAACGGATTTGGCTCAAATTTTGTATGATAATGCCTAGGGACACAATAGATCTGTTCAAGAAAGAATTTTCAAGATGGCGGCTTGATATTAAAAATGGCGGCCATTTTTTGTAAAAAATGTAATCTTTGATAACTAAAATACAAGTGAACGGATTTGGCTCAAATTTCATATGATGATGCCTAGGGACAAAGGAGATCTGTTCGAGAAAGAATTTTCAAGATGGCGGCTGAATTTCAAAATGGACGCCATTTTTAGTAAAAATCGTAATCTTTGATAACTCAAATACCAGTGAACAGATTTGGCTCATTTTTATATGATGATTCCTAGGGACACAGTAGATCTGTTCGAGAAATTTTTTTCAAGATGGCGGCTGAATTTCAAAATGGTAGCCATTTTTCATAAGAAAAAACGTAATCTTTGATAAGTCAAATACCAGTGAACAGATTTGGTTCAAATTTTATATGCCGATGCCTAGAAACACAGTAGCTCTGTTCGAGAAATTTTTTTTAAGATGGCGGCTGATCTTTGGTAACTCAACTGCCATTCGGTGGGATTTGCTACTCCGTGGAGTTGCTGTTTTTCTAGTTATTAATTTATATTACACAAACCATAAAGAATAATTTGTCTTTGCTACACATTCTTATGATGTACATTAACTTCTTTGTTTAGATGGAGTATGAGAATGAAGCCATAAGTTGGTCATTTACAGAGTTCATTGACAACACAGCCTGTCTGCAGCTACTGGAGGGGACACCTGGCTTGTTCAGTCTCTTCAATGAAGTAAGGTCTTAGCACATTTATTTAAAAAACAGTTATGTAAATTGTGTGATTGTTAATGTAAAATCCATGTGACATCCATTTATATTTCAGATATTGTATTTCAAATGAGTGATAAAAGGAAAATGATCTACAAATTCATTTTGTATGTATATGAAGTCTTACCATAATGAAATGATATATTACTCATTTATAGTAAGTTGTATGCAGTTTAATAAAACATTAAATTATTTAGGAGAAAATATATTCAGATGAGTATATTTATTGTTGTACCTCATTTGTATTACCTTCAACACATTTCAACAACGACAAACTCAGTGATCTCCCCAGCATTAAAGCAAGTGGGCACAGCACCCACCTGAGGTTTAAAAAAAGGCTTGCACCCACCTGAAAATCGTTTTGTACCCACTTGAAAATGAGATAAATCAGGAAAAATTGGCATATTTTGACCAATTTTGGACTGAATTGTGAAAATAAGAATTTTGCACCCACTTGAGAAAAAACCTAAATGTGAAGGCTTAAAAATATATTTCAATTATGTTTGCAGGAATGCAGTTTAAACCGACCATCAAATGATTCTGCCCTGAGTGAACGCTTACAGACAACATTTGGAGGGAGGAGTCATTATGTTCTAAGCAAATGCCAGAGCTTCCCTCAGTTCACTGTCAAACATTATGCAGCTACTGTGCAATATAAACTAGAAGGCTTGCTAGATAAAAACAAGGTTTGTTATTGTTTCAACAAATAAAATAAAATATTACATTTTTGAGACATGTTGTGTCTAAGGAATTACCCACTAACGCATCATCTGTCCATCCGCAATTTTCAAATAAACAAAACCTGCGATTTCTTTAACCAATGCTCATATCCACTTATGTTGTCCATACTGATAATTTTCTCCATTGATGTCCAATGGCCTGTTTTTTCTTCCTTTGTTTGGAGAAATAGAAACAAGCTTGTTTCACCATGTTAGGACAGTGAAATATGCCAAACTGAAGCTGACAAAGAAAATTGTGTACACTTTTTTTTTTAAATAAGGATACATTTTAAAAATACCAGTGCCATCTCTTCCGTTCATGTTTCAGGACAATGTTCCATTAGAGTTGCTTGGACTTCTGCAGTCGAGTCATGATTCCATGGTAGAAGAATTGTTCAGAGAATCTAAGTCTGAGAGTTTACAACCAGGAAAAAAGAAGAAAACTGTACTTTCAAAATTTAAGGTATGTCAGCATTTTGGTCATCTACCAAACCCCTGTATTAGCCCTGCACTCCATTAGGCAAAGATAGAGTTAGGGGGAGGGGGGCTTTTTCAGGAATTCATAGGTTCAAGTCAATTTTACTCCTGTATGTCTATCTATTCCAAGTTTAGTAAACAAAAACTACCTTTTTTTTAAGGTATCCCTTGACAGCCTCCTGAAAGGGTTAGAATATATGGAACCACATTATATTAGATGTATCAAACCTAATGAGGACTGTGTTCAAGGGGTCTTTGATGGACCATTTGTTATGGAACAATTAGCAGCTTGTGGTGTTCTAGAAACAGTACAAATCAGCAAACAGGCTTTTCCTGCTAGGTAACATAGCTTACTTTGTTTAACATAAAATGCATAAATGCAGTTTGCCTATAACTAAATTAACATCAGATTTCAATCTGAAATTGGCGATTGAAAATTATTTCCTTTTTTTGTGGAAATTATCATTATATGAAATTGATTCAGAGCCAAGCTCAACACACAATGTGTGTACCATAACATTAGTATTATAATGCATGAAAGAAAATAGTAGCATGAAAATTGTTCCTGTTTAAAATTCAAGGATGCAAGAACAGACAAGTGCCAAAATAAGATTAGATTTTGGGCATGCTTTACAAAAGACTAGATACGAGTAGAAATAATCTTTATTTACGTCATTAAATATTCAAAATTCAGTCAAAGTGATGTCATATTTGAAATCGACATGGGAAAGTACATCTAGAAATATGGTTTCGAAAATTGTTCATCAACTTTGAAAATTTAATTTTTTTGAAAATGCGACTTCTAGTTCGGGTTGATTCCCCATAGACCCCATGTTACAAAATCACAAAAAGTGAAATGTTTTTCTTGCATTGGACAGTGTCCATTTTGAATTTTAAATTGAATGTTTGTTTATCTGTATCTATTTTTTGATTTGTTAATTTTATTTTCCTTTTCAGCCTCACATATCAAGATTTCATTCAACGTTACGGCTTCATTATTCACCATCAAGAGGGTAATCATAAACTGCGCAAGATTTCAGCAGATCATACTAGCAACAATGAGGCTATTGAGGATCAGGAGAACCAGCTGCTGTGTGAACCACTAGATCTGCTCTACCAAAAACAACTGAAACTCACCCCTAGGAAGAGTAGCACACCTAAGAAAAGACTCAGGCGAAGATCTGGTTGGTGCTAGTTTGTTTTTTTAGTGTTTTAGGTTCACATGTTATGACTTACTTGTTGATCCTGTCATTAAAAATTGTATATTCAATACTGCTATCAAACCCAATTAAAAAGATCAGGTTACACATCGATAAAGAATACATATTCATGGGTACTTAATTGTTTGTGACTTTTGAATGGATGGATCAGCCAAATCTTCACCATATGATCTTTCGCTTTGTTAAGTCCTGGTGTGTTAGAGGCCAATCCAACCTTTAGTTTTGTATCAGTAAACAAATTGATCAAATATCAAAAATAATGGTGTCAACAAGTATGCATTCCAGCAAAGAATTACAGTTTTTTTTATATTAAAATCAATGAAACATATTTACAGGTTGTAGTGGCTATGACCCCCAAGATGGAGTATTAGGTGTCAGATAATTGTATTTACAATGATTTGTGAAATATTATAATTAGTGTGTACATGTAATTCTGCCTTAAGTATCAACATATTAATCTTTAATGCCAGTATTTTGAACTCAACGTATATTAAGGTTTGTCAAGTGTTGATCACAGTAGGAAATGTTGCGCCACAGTGCTACAGATGACATTTGGGACTCAAATTAGCAGAGAAGCTACCCGGGAACAGTTTGGGCGTACAAAGATATTTCTCAAGGATGGACAGGTTAATAACTATGTTATTTTGTCACTTCAAAAATAGATTGTTTTAGTGACAGGTTTTTGAGCTTATATATCTCAAATTGTAATTTTGTCATCCTTTTGATGGTTATTTGGTGTAGAAATGTTGGTCGAGGAAAGTTTTGTTCTTCCATAAGACACATATTTTGAGATAGACGAGGGAATTTCGAAGTTTGCATCTAAGTTTTTTTGGGGGTACTACATGTCTCTTTTATTTTTTTCAAATGATATTTTACGAGTGAAAGATTTGAAAATTTGGTGACCAAAATGAGAATATTTTAAGTAGTATATTTTTCATAAAATATTTCAGTTGGAGCAGTTGGAGTGTCTGAGAGGAAAAATTGTTTGCAAATGTGTGTTTACAATCCAATGTGCTTGGAGGAGGTTCAAGCGGACCAAGAGACTTAGCGCTCTTGTGACATTACAATCAGGTATCTCTTATTAATGTTAATGCCTCGATGTTGAAAAAACGTCATAATGTATGAACACAACCTTAGTCAATTGATAAGTTAAAAAGGGGTTCTCATTTCATATTTATGAATGTAAACAAGTATTGTTTTACATGTATTTATCACACTTAGTGTACTGCCATTGTCTTGTGCTGATTGGTGATGTGCACGGAAGTTCAAGTCGTCGCCACATAATAAAATCTTTTCTATTGTTTCTATATGACTTTCAGAAAAATATAAATGGTGTTTTTATGTCACCACCAGAAGTGGTAACACACTGCTATTTTTTTCAGCTGTCCGCGGCTACCTGTGCCGCAAGATGTTGAGGCATCTTTCAGATAAGAGACTTTTGCAGACTGATTGTAAGAAGGTTCCTCCAAAAGTTGCTCCAAAACCAAAATCTAAACTGAAACATTCGAGAAGCAGTGCTGTGGCTCGTGGAGATTTAGCAATCCATGTATTTGACAGTCATACGGAGAACACTGATAACAACCCTGATTTGCTGGTTCAATTCTGGAGAAATGTAACTGATTTGATTAGTGTTGAAAGAGTCCTGCTTGAGATTAGAGACAATAAAACGTTAACTTATCCAGGAATTCCTTATTTGGAGTTTCAGAATGATTTGATGTCTCGACGGAGAATGCCAAGAGTAAGTTTCCATCTTGCTATATTAATGTTATGGAAATCATGGATTTTTTTCTTATATTATTCTTATATAAATAGACTTAATACACATAGCACATAATTCCTGTATAAAGTTCAATTTTGATATGAAACTTTGCACACCTGCTACTGTCTACCATGGCAACATTCTAAGCGTGTATTTATCTTATAGGTGCCAATAAAATTCCACACAAAACCCAGCCAAGTGCTGAAATATGGACATTGTATGTCTGCCAAGGAAAAACAGTGTAGCCTTACAGACTGCCTTGCCTGAAATAACGTGATAAACATTCCCCTGTGATTATATTGACATGAAAGAACAAATGGTACAATGAGGACCATTTTAATAAGGACTTTAAAAATAAGGACCATAATCTGTGATATTAACCTGCACTATGTAATAGATAATCTTATGCATTGAAAGTGTATTCCCTACATTAAATCATACTAATACAGACATTTTTAGTATCATATTTTTTATTTAAATCTTTAGATTGAATACATTTGATAAATGCTAGAATGGAAATTGTTTAGGATGTTGAGTTTATTCATTTTCTTGTGAGAGCAGTTATTTATGCATTTATGTCACCACCAGAAGTGATGACATATTGTTATAGTGTCCAACCATTTTGATGTTGTTCAGTGGTTGGTGTTCGGTTTTGGCATCTGTAATTAATGGCAGGTGGTGACTTCTTGCATGTATGCCTATTTTTATCTGGGCTTATATTCAGTACACTTTTTTGAAGTTTTTGGGTCATGTACATTTTAACATAGTTTTTGAGGGGATGAGAATTTCAAAATGCAATTAGGCTTCATGATAGATGTCAAATGATTTGAGGATCAGCTTATAGGAGCTGTTAGAAAGGCAATGATGACATTTGATTAGGCCAGCACTTTGGACAACCACTCACATAATGAACAGACTGACCAGAACATAAGTTTGGAATCTGCATGGTTGACATGGCTGTCGAAGATATGCAAGAACAAGAAATGTGCAGAAGAATGAAGTCTCCTATCAAGGTCTGTAGTTTTTTTTCAATATAAATGCCCCATAAAATAAGAATATAGCATAATACAGTTTTTGGGAGGAGGAATAATTTACTCAAACTATATTTTTCTGTTTTTTTCAGTCCTTACCCTCATTAATATTGGAGCATGTGATGACTTTGGCTGTTATGAGTCTGAGAAGCAGAGTATAACACACAGGTATGACTTTACAGACATCTCAATTGAATCCTGGGGCGACCACATCAATGAATGAATTAATTACCACCAGTGGTGACATATAGTTATGATCCTCAAACTTTTATATGGTTTTTGGTGTTCGGCGTTTTGTAGTTGGTGTCTATAAGAAATGGCAAGTTGTGCCATCTTGCATGTTTACAAATTGTAAGAATATGACATTGCATGAACATTGTATATTTTTTATTCAGGCTTTACATTTATTTTATAGGAGTGTTATATGTTATTGGTATTTTTATACTCCCAGCTGTAAGCTGAGGTGTATATTCACAGGGAATATATCAAGGTAAGTGAGATTTGCACACAAATGAGATATGCACCCATTATGAGTTGGAACACTTGTCATGCATTTTTACCTCCATAATTCGTCCCATTATTTCCACATTGTTATAACTCACTTTTTGCAGGTTTTGAGATAAGGATACGTTCTTTCACAATTTTTCACGAGGAATTCATTTCTGAGGTCCATTTCAATGGATCTCATCTCCTTTTGGAGATATACAGTGCCACATTGTTATAAGGGCAAAATGAGGAAAAAAACTTCAGGCCCACCTTGTCATATCCGCAGCAGAGTTAATCAGATTACATAATTTTGATCATGTGACTTATAGTTATGATCATGTGACTAATAGTTTTAACAATATGGAAATAATGGGACAATCACACACTAGTTTATTTTGTAGGTAATTAACAAAGGAGATCATAAATCATGACACTAAACATGTAGTACAAACAAAAGAAAGCAGATTTGCACATTATTTGTAAATAAAATAAAAGTTCATTCAGTGAACTTAATCAATTACTGACCTGTTATACCTTTACCAGTCAAAATGGAACATGAGTTATATTCTGTATAATTAGATGGGCAGACTAATGGTATACGGACAATAACAAAATGGAAGTGAATAAAAATTCAGTTTTCAGGGTTATTTTGTTATTTCAAAAACAAAAAACCATAAAAAGATGTGTTTTCTTAATTGTTCATCAGTGATTTTTGCTCTGCAAGGCTTACATATACACATGATTACCCAAACAAAAAAAGAAGTTTCTAGAAATTACTACTCAGAAGTTATGAAGCCCCGAATCTTCAACCTCTGATTTCTCAATATCAGCAAAAATGCAATTATGACAATGTGGAAATAAGGGGACGAATTGCTATCAAAACCATTTTTTCATTTTGGGATAATATAGCAACAAAACTGATGAACCCAATGATGGACAGCAACCCCTTGGTAGTTTTCTTGGCTTTGGGGCAGGAGGAATCGTCAGGGGTGTGGGTCTTGAGAGCAACCAGAGTTAAGCCTTTGTCAATTTTTTCTGCAAGGAAATGAGCTTTCATGGAGAGGGTATCTAGCTCAATCCCTGCAAAACTAGACTACTAAATCTATAGCCTTGTCTACAGAGGCATACTGTACTGAGGCCTCATCATTGGGGATGCCATCGTAAATGGAACCTCCTTTTGGGAATGATAGATGGTAGATAACTCTTTATCTCCCAGGGATTTTTTATGGACAATGCCGAGAAGGGATATAATGTACAAGTGGAAGGGTGGATGTTTAAATGGGCCAGCCAATCTGCCATGGTCAAGTTCTTTTTCAACTTCTCTGATATCACATGTGGTGCCTCATTAACTGACTTCAAGTTCGGGTAAACAGTGTTGTACCCAAGGTGGGAATATAGTGTTGTACCCAAGGTGGGAATATGAATAGGGAAAGGAGAATCCAAAGCAAAACCATCAATCAGGAAGGCCATATTGTAACCATATAAATACTACTCAAGTTAAGTTATGTTTACTGGAGTGGTCTCTCCTCTGATTTGGCATTGAATTGGCTGGCATGTTGAGGCTTATAGTTCTTTCCACCTGAGGACCTGGGATGATTTTTGGTGCAGGACAGGTGTGTTTGTAACTGTAGTCAAAGTCTTGTTAACAACCCTTTCCTTAATGGTAGCTGTAGCAGAATCCCTTTTGGATATGGCTAATGTAGGATTGATTGTTATGGGATCGAAAGGAATGTTTGCCATATCACATAATTCAGAAGGATATTTGACATGCCTATGTATTTATGTGATACTGTTTTTCAACCTTTTTAAGACTAAGCAGAGTTTAAAAAATCAATGTGTTATGTCATTTCGAAAGCAGATACTAGGCAATTACGGTTTATTTCACCTTTCAACTCAAAACATTAAAAATGTCACTAACCGTTCGGTAGCTTGCAATCACCTATCCATAGGCCATTATAAAACGTACAGTCAGTTTCAATACAAGTTATCAGACAAAGAGCAATCAATATCCTGACATACATTGTCATGTTGCCGAACTGATTTCCCAAAAATTAAAATCAATATTAGCATGTATAGATTTAGATGCTACCACCCCTACCTATACAAAGTGTAAGACGATCAATTTATTTACATATCTAAAAATTGATTTTAGCTGGGAACAACTTGAAGTATCTTCAAGGGTCATTAAAGAGAGAATCAGATCTAGCGAGCAGTCTAACCAATTTTTTTTTCAAATATTTTTCAAATATTTCTGGCTCATGTCATTCCTTTTCACATCCATTTTCTAAAAATCCCAAATGCACACCAAATGCCTATGTATTTATGTGATACTGTTTTTCAACCTTTTAAAGACTAAGCAGAGTTTAAAAAATCAATGTGTTATGTCATTTCGAAAGCAGATAATATGGCAATTACGGTTAATTTCACCTTTCAACTCAAAACATTAAAAATGTCACTTGCCGTTCGGTAGCTTGCAATCACCTATCCATAGGCCATTATAAAACGTACAGTCAGTTGCAATACAAGTTATCAGACAAAGAACAATCAATATCCTGACATACATTGTCATGGTTCCGAACTGATTTCCCAAAAATTAAAATCAATATTAGCATGTATAGGTTTAGACAAAATCTTAATGGTGAAAAAATGTTCCATTAAGATACTGTTTCGAGTTCTGTGAGGGAGAAACATGTAATGGATGTGATGTCTCCCATAATTGTCCATTTATCAAACTTAAAAGCTTCTTGTCCCAACAATGTAAAAAGTCCTCTCCTCTGGCTCAACTTGTTTAATTTGGGCACTGGCTGATAAAAGATCTGATGACAGTGCTGAATTGCATTTTTCTCTAGCAAACTGGGTTGATAACACATGATTGCATTCAAATGGATCGTAATTTAATCTTCAAGTATTTTGTAATTGAAGTACTGGATTTGCAAAGGTGAGTAATCATAGATTACAATCTGCTTAGCCATATAAAATGAAATCCCTGATGATTAATTATTTAAAAAAATTGGTATTGATTTGTATTTTTCATCTATCCGCCAAATTAGAATGGCAGTCAAAATTAAATCAATTTGCAGTCAACAAAAAATAGAATTGCTTTTATGAGCAATGCCAATCTCACTTATTTCAATAATTCTAGCTGTTCTGTCTGTGATATGTTTATTACATAACCATCACAAGTGGTGACATATAGTTATGGTCCTCAAACTTTTGTATGGTGGTTTGTGGTTGGTGTTTGGCATTTTGAAGTTGGTGTCCGTAAGAAATGGCAAGTTGTGCCATTTATGTGATTACTAGAGTGCTGCTAACTCGATAAAAGGCTGGCGCTGGCTAGAATTGTCTATGGTTCTAGCCAGGATAAAGATACCAGTTCTTCAACTCGACAATGGGAAGAACTGCTCTACCTAAGTGACTAATATGTCAAGATATGACATCTAAAGAGTCGATAAAAGATATATATATATGTATGTTTACACCTTGTAAGAATATGACATTGCATAAACATTGTATTTTTTATTCAGGCTTTATATTTTTTTATAGTAGTGTTTTATGTTATTGGTATTTTTATACACCATGTTGTTAGATAAAAAAAAGGGTAGGGTGCTTCCTCTGGTGTGTCTTGAGCGTTTACATCAGCTGCCTCTAGTCAGATCGACTAACAAAACAACCTTTTTTGGGGTTGACGAGTTAGCCAAGAGGGCTTGAGCGCCAGCACATTCAGGCTAGGCAATTTTGCGCCATAACCACGACGTTGCGAGTTCTAGACGCTAGTGCTCGTTGTGTCTATTCATGTATACTATTCACAGGAAATATATCAAGGTAAGTGAGATTTGCAGACAAATGAGATGTACACCCATCATGAGTTCGAACAGTTGCTATTCATTCCATCATTGCTATCAAAACCATTTTCTTCATTTATCTACATTTTTTGGTCAACTTGCTGTCATAGTTAGCATTTGTTTCTCCCTCGTGGAACTCGAACAGTAGAGAAGATGGTTTCACCGTTGAAGTCCAAACAGAAAAGTTTATGTATAAAGGGTTTAGCCACGACCAGTGTTACATTGATTTGGGATTACACACAAACATAAACGACTTACCTTTGATGGTGACACCCCATTCCTTGAAAGGCAAGTTTAATTATAGGGCTAATAACTGTGATATAGGGCTAATAACTGTGATATGCATGCTTACAACTCGGGGTTTACAATCGTCTTGGTGAATAAATGCTTCATGATAACCTAATAATAAGCTTATAAGCTCGCCCAAGTAATTTTCCATTCTCTAGTAGTAGATAATGCATTTGGCTGGGGCACCATCCCGACCAGCCATACCAGCCCTACAAGCCTCCTGCTATATATCTAAGGTCGAGCTTGGGAGACCCCAACTTAGAACCTTGCGGCAGTCTGGTACCTGCACTCCCATCCCAAGTGAAATTGTGCAAACCAGCACAATTACTTTTAGAACATGTTATAGCTGTCAAAATACGGTCTTTCGATTCCTGATCAGTACCTCCATGGAACATATCGATGACCTGTTTAGGTTCGTTGAAGATAAACTCCCAATCCAAATCATCGCTGAGGTATCCTAGTATCCTCCAGCATGTATCAATGGTTTTTCAGTATATAATTGTTTTGTCCATATTTGTGGTCCTTGGCTCTAGCTCATCTTTGACCCATTTTAGACTCTCTAGGTCCCCTGGGACCTCTTTGAAGTCAAGGTATATATTAGGCTTGAAATAGTAAAAGCATTGAAAATGCTCATATTGTGTTCATTGAATGATTGCACTAACTCTGATATGGAACACATTAAGTATCCTGTTCAATTTAATGTGATGAAATACTTCTTGAAAGGTAATAATTGAAATTGGTTTTATTTACAGTAAATGCTTTGTTCTTGAAATATCCATTGGCAGTTTATGTTTATCCAAAATAATTAATATCAATAATTAGTAGTAAATGGATTTTGAACATAATTAATGATTTACCTGTCAACTGTCACAGAGGTTATATGAGTGTTGTGATGTAAGTTGAGGACACCCTGAATGTCATTTTTTATGTCAAGGTTAGTGAGTTGCAGTGAGTGCCATTTTGGGACATTCATACATTGCCTGAAGGAACCCTAGTTTTGTGTATGTTTTACGAAAATCATGTCCCCTAGAAATATATAATGTGTAATGTAAAATTTTCAATATAAGTTTGTAATACTGCAATGCAATTGAAAATTAAAAACTATATATACTATGAGGCTGCTATGAGATGCCACTGTGTAAAACCTCAATGTAATTCCATGTCACCACCTTAGAAAACTACAATACGAGGGGTGATCAATAAGTAATGGACGTTTTTTTACACAGATACTTTTTATAGACCAATCCCTTTGATTTTCCTACCAGTGATACATCATTCAATTATCTATCAATTTTGAAGATTTGAAGACAAAATATATAATACATATTGATATATCCTTATTTCCGTGAAGGAGGTACAGGTACCCCGGGACCGACATTTACGTCACAAATTCAGTTTTTAACCAGTTTGGTAAATTTCAGTTAGATTTGAACTTTTTATATGCAACAAGTGTTGTGTTGTTTGAAATTTTTTTGCTGACTGGTAACACATAAAAGAAAGTATTGTGATGTGAGTGTTGTATGGAAGGGGTTTGCAGGTCAATTTGAGAAAGCCTTGTAGAAGAAAGGGGTGGTGAGAGAAGGGAACCCCCTACTCCATATGGACAATGCACCTGCCCCCACGTCTCAAAATGTTCAGAAAACAATATCCCTGGACCTCAAAATTGAGCCCTTGGCCAATGCACCATATTGTCCAGATCTGCTCACATGTGACTTGTTTATTTCTATACTACTTATTCCTATAGAGAAAGGACGCAGGTTTGTTGACATTGATGAAATAAAACAACCTGTGCAACCACCTTGCTACCATGTCAGAGAATGGATTCAGCCTTGTCTCACAATCTTGAGTTAAGAGGCTGAGGAATTATGTACATGTAGCACTTGATGGATCCTATTTAGAGGGCTCTGTGGAATGAATGTGGCATGAATACCACATAGTGATGATAAAATATTCAAAATCAACTATGGGAAAACAAAATAGGGTAATTCATTACCATAATGGTTTGTTTTGTTCAGCCTGCATACAACTGCATTGCATGTTAAACAAGCTAAAATAGCTCCAGAATATGTGACGTAAATGTCGGTCCCGGGGTACCTGTACCTCCTTCACGGAAATAAGGATATATCAACATGTATTATATATTTTGTCTTCAAATCTTCAGAGTTGATAGACAATTGAATGATGTATCACTGGTAAGAAAATTGAGGGGGTTGGTCTATAAAAAGCATCTGTGTAAAAAAACGTCCATTACATTTTGATCACCCCTCGTATGAGAGTGTACCAATGCAAGACACTATAATATAAGTACATCACTTCATAAAAGTGCAATAACTGCATCAATGTATAAAACTGCAATATAACTGTGTCAATCATGACAAAAAACAGTGACAAAAAAAGAAGCCTCGTTGTTTTGGTTAGACACATAAGAGGATTTTTCATTCTTTGCATTTTTTGATTATTTATTTGGAGACACTTTGCTAAACTTTTCATAATCTTATCAGAAGAATAGAACTTTGTTAGTATATTGATCCAAGGATTGTTCAGCCTTTGATACTGAGGATTTTGAAGAAGCCCTGATTTGTTGAATTGTTGAGGGGTATATTGGTGTTGTTCTGGCTGTTCAAGGATTTTTTGTTCTGGTTGATCAAATGAATTATTTGGTTAATTATGTTCAAGCAGGAATGCTTTGTTGTGTTTGTTACAAGGAGTAGTGCAAGTGCGATAAATTGATTTTTATTTTGACCACCACATGTGTCAGAAAACATAGACAGGTGCCGAACAGTTGATTGGAGAATGTTGGTTAAGCATGTGCCGACTTCATTTGATCCTCTTTGGCAATTTTTCATCCCAAATGTAACGAGTTCCTTTCCATCTCCCAAATTATAGACAGATAAATTATAGGAAGCAAACTTGCGCTGAGCTTATAGAAAATTTGAGAAACTCCCTCACAAGGAGTAGCAAGCATTGCTGTTGTCCTATTCAAACAAGGGCAGTCTCTTGATCAGCTGAGAGATGTTTCTGGTGAATGAGCAAGAGAGTTATAACTCCTAGCCCAAGGCATACACAAGCCAAGGTAGAATTTATCAATATTAACAGAGGTTCAAGATATTTTGAAAATGACAATGTTTTAACCTTTCAATTTTGGGTGGTCTTTAGTTGTCCAATAGTTCTTTGAAAAATACAGGTTGCTGTTTTCTAAATCTGAGTGATTGGACATCAGGGAGGGTTAAGTTATGATTTTCAGTCAGCCCTAGTTCATATTTAAGATCAAAACAAGCCTTTTTCCGGAGGTAAACAATGCTTTTGGATGTGCCTCCACTATGAAAAATTTTCCCTTGATCAGTTTAATCAAGTTGTCAGTACTGACTAGTACAGGTAGTAGTCAAAGCTCATTAGATCAGTAATATGGTGTAATTTACAGCAGGATATCCCCTTTCCTTTAAATTGTTCATTTGGTCTATTTTAATCCCATTAAGAGGACCGAACACAAGAACACTTTTTCCAATAATGTTAGGTTACAAATGAATTATGCTCGTATCCCCATAGTTCACAATGTAATAATGTTCCTGCCTAATTTCCTGAAAAAAAATTCTTACCCTACGAATTTTTTTGTGACCCAGCCCTGGTCCTTAACGGTAACCACAGGAGGACTTGGTGCCCGTGCCGCTTGCAGGTATAGCACCACTGCCGCACGTCTAGGCCGCCCATTCGCTGGAGAGCTCTGGCTTGAATACCTAGGCTCCTGGATGCCCGCCCGGCCTCCGCTACCAATCTCGCCATTGGTAATGTTACATCAAGACGGTCAATCCCCTGGATCCGACTGCTGATTGATCCATGTTTTCGATGCCTTGAAGACTGCCACCAGCACTTGAGATTCGTGGGTGTCTGTCATGATTCTTACGTTGGCAACCCCATTCAGCCTGACTTAACCCTGTTCAGTCCTCCCATTTTATACCTCATCCTAACATCAGTTCCTACTCCCTAATCCTGCCTAGCACTGATTGGCTGACTCAATAAGAGTGAAAAATGCTTTATCGTAGTTAACATTTGTTTGATTTTGAACAAGTTATTTTATTTAGCCTCTTTATGCTTATGAGGACCACCTCCCTAATTTTTGAATTTCATAGTCATAAGATCCAAAGAAGCTCCCCATTTTTTCTGATCTTTGTATAAGGAATCCTTTTCTCCAAATCGTTTGTTTTCTCTTCTGAATTTTTGTTTTGTTGCTCCATTTTATCATCTTTAGACCAACAGACTATGATTGGGCGGTTCATTTACATGAAGGCAATTTATGGGAGAAATCACATACATTATATGTTTCTCCCTAGTGGAACATTTTCTCACCATTTACGTTTTTGGCCCCCTGCTCCAGAGTTCTTGTCATTTTTGGCATTTCTATCATTCTGATAGGTGAAGTCCAAACAGAAAGTTACTGTATAAAGGGTTTAGTCAAGACCAGTTGTACCACTTCCTAGACTTGCTATAACTTATATTACATTATTCTCTATCGATTGATTTCTCTTTCAGATCTTTCATAATTGCGCAATGACTCAGAAATGACACTTTCATTGGAACTCTCCCCCTTCCAAAAACCCAAAGTTTTTTTTTTGATTTTGATTGACATGAAAACCATATCTTTGATTTCTTGAATTTTGAGGAGAGGAAACGATTAATGGCATAAAATATGACTTGTTCTGGTTAGACTCATAAGAGGATTTTTCATTCTTTGCATTTTTTGATTGAGTTATTTGGAGACACTTTGCTAAACTTTTCATAATCTTATCAGAAGAAGATAGCTTTGTTAGAATATTGATCCAAGGATTGTTCAGACTTTGATACTGAGGGTTTTGTCGAAGCCTCATTTTGTGGAATTTGTTGAGGGGTATATTGGTTTTGTTCTGGTTGATCAAATGATTTATTTGGTCAATTATGTTCAAGCAGGAATGTTTTGTTGTGTTTGTTACAAGGAGTAGTGCTAGTGCGATAAATTGATTTTTATTTTGACCACCACATGTTTCAGAAAACATAGACGGGTGCTGAACAGTTGATTGGAGACTGTTGATGTACTGTATTAAGCATGTGCCGACTTCATTTGATCCTCTTTGGCAATTTTTCATCCCACATGTAACAGGTTCCTTTTCCATCTCCCAAATTATAGACAGATAAATTATAGGAAGCAAGCTTGCGATGCGCTTATAGACTATTTGAGAAACTCCTTCCCAAGGAGTAGCAAGCACTTCTGTTGTCATGAAACATAAGGTTGCTATCTAGACGTGGATTATAAATTGTACACTTTTACTTATAAAAAATATGTTACTTAAACATGTGGTGTGCCATGAGAAATATAATTCAAAACATAATTTGAAAGATGTTCCTTAAATGATACAACCTAATGACCATCAAGGTAATAGTCCTGATACAAATCCAAGTGAGTATACAGTATCGGAAAGTCTCCAGGAGATGATATTAAGTCACACAATTTCATAAATTGCTCAACTAAAGCTGGCATTAATTAAAACAAGTTGAAAGAAACTTAACCAACATTTCATTGATACTGCTATATCAGCAAAGTGCCTAAGACTAAAAGCTATCATAAAAGAGGATGACGGACCAATTAAACTCCTCTTTTAGATCAAATACAATCCAAGTTATAGGACTCGTTACACTAAAAGTGGCTTTTATGGACCACCCAGACTGTATATTAAAATAAAAATATATTTACATTTCTAATTACACCAGTCACACTGCATCTTGTCCTTTTCTTTGGTGACAACTTAGCATTTGAGATGCTGTATCGAGGAGCATCAAAGAATGAATTTTTCAATTCTTCATCCGTCCGTCTTAGCTAAGTCATATATTTCTCGCAATAGTTTTTGGGACTTAAGTCCTGAAATTCGTTCCTCCTATTTGCAGGATTACCAGTTGGTCATCACTTGTAAATGTGATGTGAAAATATACGAGGCCCACTAAAGGGCAGATTGGACATGGTTAAGTACGTCGGGGTTGTGAAGTCACTTTCTTCCATTTGCTTACCACTCTTGGAATGTGCAGTTTTAGCAATTTTCTTGCCTTGGCATTTTCTTTAAATAAGATAATGTAAATGTTGATATGGCTTACTGTCACCATCTTGGAGGTATCCTGTATTTATCCCCACATTGAATAGATCTAAGTAATATCTTGCACTGCATCTTGTCCTTTTCTTTGGTGACAACTTAGCATTTGAGATGCTGTATCGAGGAGCATCAAAGAATGAATTTTTCAATTCTTCATCCGTCCGTCTTAGCTAAGTCATATATTTCTCGCAACAGTTTTTGGGACTTAAGTCCTGAAATTCGTTCCTCCTATTTGCAGGATTACTAGTTGGTCATCACTTGTAAATGTGATGTGAAAATATACGAGGCCCACTAAAGGGCAGCTTGGACATGGTTAAGTACATCGGGGTTGTGAAGTCACTTTCTTCCATTTGCTTACCACTCTGAATGTGCAGTTTCAGCAATTTTCTTGCCTTGGCATTATTTTCAAATAAGATAATGTAAATAGATCTAAGTAATATCTTAGTATCTAATATCTTAGCTAAGTCATATATTTCTCGCAACAGTTTTTTGGACGTAAGTCCTGAAATTCATTCCTCCTATTTGCAGGATTACTAGTTGGTCATCACTTGTAAATGTGATGTGAAAATATACGAGGCCCACTAAAGGGCAGCTTGGACATGGTTAAGTACATTGGGGTTGTGAAGTCACTTTCTTCCATTTGCTTTCCACTCTTTGAATGTGCAGTTTTGGCAATTTTCTTGCCTTGGCATTATCTTCAAATAAGATAATGCAAATAGATCTAAGTAATATCTTAGTATCTAATATCTTAGCTAAGTAATATATTTCTTTCAACAGTTTTTAGGACTTAAGTCCTGAAATGTGTTCCTCCTATTTGCAGGATTACAAGTTGATCATCACTTCTAATTGTGAAGATAGGCGAGACCCTCTCAAATAATTATCAGGAGAAGTAGGGTGAATTTAATGTAACAAGGTGTCCATTTTACAAAAATATGCTTTTATACAAATTATATTTGTCTGCTATGCAGTTCTATTGAGAGGATGTCACACTGTCAATGCTGTTGTTCTCTCTTGTGACTCCCTATTGCTCATGTCCATCCATGTAAGGAGTCTCTGGACATAGGACCCAATCAATTATTTACTAAGTTTACATGCAAGTTGCTGCGACAGAATACTGACATTTCACATGACTAATAATTTACACATTTTTTCTCTGTATGACAAAAACTTTGTTTTCACCTTTGCCATGGGCTGTATACCTTGCAATATTTGTATGATACCTTAGAATGGCACCCCTAGCCATAGCCTGTCGAAAGTATAATTTATTTAAGGGTTTTGCTTTTACACGTTTCATAATAGACTTAAAATTGTTCCAACTAATTGTGTCAACATATTCAGACAGTATTCAATCAATAACAATACATTTGGCTTTAAAATAACATCAACACTGCTTTTTGATATTTTCCTACAATTTTTGGTTGACAAAAACAAGAAGTTAATGTCTGTCATCATTTAAAAGTTCCATGTAAGGTATATTTATTGTGAATGACCCACATTCTGACAGGGCAATTATTTGAACTTTCAGATTATGGATCTAGTTTTTTTTATCCTAAGGTATTGTGCCTGCTCAACCGATGTTTGACCCCAATATCACCTGCTTTTAGTAGAATAACATCTGTAAGAGCCTCCATCAAACTCTTGAGCACAATCACCCTACCCAACTGCAACATCATTTCCCTTCTCTTCGATCCATAGATATGGATTGTGTTACCACAGGAATATTTGGCATTGTGCATGTACTGTTTTACACTATTACCTGCAATTTTATGAGATTTTGCCACATTTTTGCAAAAAATCAAAAATCAATACTAAAATCTTTTGGTCATGTTACGTTCGAAAATAACAGAAGGTAAAAACAGCAATTAAAATATGATAACAATATATTTATATTTTGAAAACTAAATAATATAACAATAATATAAAGGAGATTTAATACTTATGTGATGTCCAATCAATGATACGGCTTATTCTTGATGTCGATAAATGTCGTTGACGATCCTTGAGAATGTTCCGGATCACGAAATGTTTCAATAATCGTTAATAGTTCTCCAATGTTTGTAATAATCCAATAATGTTTGTTGTAATCCTATAATGTTCGTATCCAATAATGTTTGATGATAATCCACAAATGTTTGATGATAATCCACAAATGTTTATGATAATCCACGAATATATATGATAATCCGTATATAATGTATGTTGTAATATATGTCCATATAAAGTCCTCAGGTTGTATGTTTGTAGTGTTATAAATGTTCCCACAGTAATTATCTGCTAAGAAGATGTCCTTTTGATAAACTTTGAAATTCTGCTTTATTTAGTTCCTTTGAGATGTCCAGTTATGATTACTTAATTATCTGCTACTGAGTCCTCTTTGCAGTTTTATTTATAGTGTGAAAGAATCATCTAGAAAGAATCTTCTGGAACTGAGACTACTTATTGAGTTTTGATTGGACATCTCCAGTCACATGATTAAGTCTTAATGAATGGTTATATTTTCTAGAACTCTCTGGATGGTCAAGAGTTAATGAGTCATTCAGTTCTGTTTACAAGATACAGTGTATAATGTCATTGTGACCTTGACCCAAGATCTCTAATAAAGATCAGTTACAGTATATACATATAGATAAACTAAACTTAATGTGAATATAATAAAACATAATACTGTAACACCTCCCTCCTTAAAAGAAAAGTTTGAATATAATGAAAAACTTTTACAATAATATCTGGTGTGGCGAGGGTTACAATTTTTCAAAGATGAGGTTGAGACTTACATAACATTTGTTTACAATAGTCAAATGCAATACTATTTATATAGTTACAGACTGAGTAAAACCCAAAAGCATATTACAATAATATTATCAAATCACACTCGAAGTACAATCTTTTTATTATATTATATTAGCACAAAGCCTTAAGCATATGCAGTATAAGTCAAATATCCTCTTAGAAATAGAGGTATTACACTCTTGAAAGAGTATCAGCAATTAAATTATCCTTGCCTTTGATGTGTCTTATGTCAAGATTGTACTCTGACAATAACAGACTCCACCTCAACAATCTACGATTTTTGTTCTTCATTCTATGAAGGAATGTCAGCGGATTGTGATCAGTAAATACAGTAACTGCATGAACTGGTGCACTAACATATACTTCAAAATGTTGCAATGACAGAAGTAATGCTAGACATTCCTTTTCTATGGTAGAGTAGTTTTTCTGATGTTTATCAAATTTCTTTGAATAATAACACACTGGATGATCAATACCATCCTTTTCTTGTAATAGGACAGCCCCCATTCCTACATCAGAAGCATCTACTTGAATTTTGAATGGCTTGCTAAAATCAGGTGCAACAAGCACTGGTTCTTCACTAAGTATGGCCTTGATTTTATCAAAGGCTGTATGACATTGCTCAGACCACACATATTTGATGTTTTTCCCAAGTAAATTGGTCAATGGAAGAGCAATTGAAGAGAAATTTGGACAAAACTTCCTATAAAAGCCAGCCATTCCAAGACTTCTCATTAATTCTTTCTTGTTAGTAGGAGCTGGGAGTTGTGTAATTGATTCCACTTTGGCACTCACTGGTTTGACCTGTCCTTGACCTACCACATGGCCCAGATATTCAACTGTTGCTTTACAAAATTCACTCTTAGCTAAATTGATGGTTAAATTGGCTAGAGAGATTCTTTCAAACAACTTACGCAGCAAACACATATGTTCATCAAAAGTGTCAGAATACACAATTACATCATCGATGTATACACCA